GGGGCATTAGTAGGGTTCCACTGGGGTTCTATCATTTACCCTCTATAGACTGCAGCTGCCGCCCTGCAGGGCAATTACAAGTCTAGCCTGGTAGCCTTTGATCTGGTCTCAGCTCTGCTCTTTCTTTCTAACAGTGGTTCCTTTTCTTTCCTTCCTGCCCTTATTCCAAGCATAAATCTTCTGGGTTATTCCGTAGTGACGAGACCAACCCATAAGCTAGCATGGATCCCTCTTGCTTTTTCTGCTGGGTGCAGTGTTTTTCTTCCCTTGCTGGCCTGCCACTAAGTGCTACTTTGGGCTATATGACTTCAAAGCCATTCCCCAAGAGGTAGCTGTCCTTAAACTCAAACTAAAACGTGAGACATTTCGAGCTCTTTAAATAATAATAATAATAATAAAACGCCCTGTGAATTCTCTGCTTTTCATGTGGTTCCTCGTGCTCCCCCCACAGTGTGACCTGTTGTGGGCTGCCAGCTCTCATTCCTTTGATGTCTGTCTCCAGGATACCTCTCTGGAATCCGTGCAGAGGAGAGTGAAATTGTCTGGTGTGAGTGTGTTTTTGTTGGGGAGAGCTGGGGGGGAGACCCCAGTAACTTTGTGGACATGTTCAGAAGGAAATGTGCTCGAATTAGCACTAACCTTGGGGAAAAGTAGGTTCTTCTTGGTTAGGAAGAATAGTCAGTTTTCCTTCTCATCCGACACCCACATTTCCCCTTACTCTCCTTTAGTATTCACTGCATAGTTATCACCATCTCATGAACTTGGGGTATCCTTATTTCCCAGGTTCTTCAAAGCAAGTTCGTTGGGTCCATGTTGGAAGTTGATTCCTTCTGTTTGTTTTGACCATTTTCCTGTTGGAAAACCCAGGCTCTTTTTTTTTCCAGTTATTTTTAGTTTTAATTTTTGTAGTTGTAGATGAACACCCTGCCTTTATTTTATTTGTTTATTTTAATATGCTGAGAATTGAATCCAGCACCTCACATGTGCTAGGCAAGCGTTCTGCCACTGAGCCACAACCCCAGCCCCGCTGGGCTTTTCTTTTTAGTCATTATTCTCTCCAACTTTTTTTTTTCTTTAAACAACAACAACAAAAATTTTTTCTTGTTATAGAGAATTTGAAATATTGTTCAAGTGTCTCCTATCTGAAATGCTTAGGAGCAGAAGTATTTCAGATATCAAAGCTTTTTAGATCTTGGAGTATTGTTAAGTATCTTTAATATGAAAATCCAAAATTCAAAATGTTTCAAAATCTAAAAATTTGCCAGCCCCCAAAAGGAGATACTCATGAAATTTAGGATTTCAGATTTCAGAATAGAAATGCTCAATCTATGCATTCAAAAGTAGATGTAATAATATCATCAGCCCCCGTGTACTGTCATCCACCTGCAGACAAGATCACTCATAGCATCTTTGTTTCATCTATACCTTCCCGTATCCTATTTCCCATCTCAGGTTTTGTAGCAAATCCTAGACATCATGTCATTTCAGCCATAAATATTTAATGTATACCTATAAAAGATACGCAAGGTAAGGATTTGAAGAAATACCTCCAGATTTTCAAATTAACAAATCTTTACTATAATGAAATACCCAGTTATTGTTCAGATATCTTCTCTCTCTCTCTCTCTCTCTCTCTCTCTCTCTCTCTCTCTCGGGGTACCAAGGATTGAAACTTTGAGGTGATAACCACTGGGCCACATCCCCAGTCCTTTATGTATTTTACTTAGAGACAGGGTCTCACTGAGTTGCTGAGGCTGACTCTGAACTTGTAATCCTCCTGCCTCACTCAGCCTCCTGAGCCACTGGGATTACAGACATGCACCACCATGCCTATCTCATTTTTAACCTATTTTTATTGTATGTATTGAAGGTGTACAACATAATTTTTTTTTGCTTGTCTTCTTTTTGGTACTAGGGATTGAACCCCAGGGTGCTTTGCCACTAAACTGCATCCTTAATCCTTTTTTTTTTTTTAAGTTTTGAGATAGGGTCCTGCTAAGTTGCTGAGGCTATCCTTGAATTTTCAGTCTTCCTGCCTCAGCCTTCTGAGTCACTGGGATTACAGGCTTTTGCCATCATACCCAACAACTTACTGTTTTGATATACTTAGTGAAGTGATTACTACAGTCAATAAATAATAAATAAATCTATCCATTACTTTGCCTAGTTACCTTCTTTTAGTTCAGTTTTTAAAATTATGTGTAATCTTGATTAACCTCAAGCTTTCTTTTACTGTTCACCCAGCACAAGCCTAGAGAGCTCTAATTAAACTTCACACCCAGCTAGCAAGGAGCAGTCAATGAAAGTCAGCCCTAAATATAAAGTTTAGGATACTTGACCAGCTACCCAAATATCAAAGAACCTAAGAGAACCTAAGGCAGGCTGTCGCCCAGAAGACAGTGACACAGCAAATCTTCCCAGCCAGATAACCCCATGTGACTGGAGCTCTGGGCTCCTTCTTTCCTCTGGGGTGGGAGCCCCAGGAAGCCATAGAGAGTGTCCTTATCAACTTCAGGCTTCTGGAGTCACAACAAATTTTGGTTAAAAATGTTTTGCAGGGGTTGGGAGCGTTAGTTCAATGGTAGAATGCATGCTAGCATGCTAGGTTCGGTCCCCAGCAAATGATAACACTTAAAAAGTTTATTTATTTTTTTCTTTTTAAAAAACTTACATAGGGCAGGAGTTGTGGCTCAGGGGCAGAGAGCTTGCCTAGCACGCATGAGGAACTGGGTTTGATCCCCAACATCACATAAAAATAAATAAAATAAAAGTATTGTGTCCATCTACAACTAAAAAAAAAAAAAAACAACAACATACAATGTCGGGCATGGTGGTGCACACCTGTAATCCTAGAGGCTGGGGAGGCTGAGGTAGGAGGATCGTGAGTTCAGAGTCAGCCTCAGCAAATTAGTGAGGCCCTAAGTAACTCAGCAAGACTCTGTCTCTAAAAAACATATAAAAAAAGAGTTAGGGACATGGTTCAGTGGTTAAGTGCTGCTGAGTTTAATCCCTGGAACCAAAACAAATAAACAAAAAAAAACTTACATAGCAATCGCTATTTTAAGTGCTTATAAATATTAGCTCACTTAATTCTTATAATGACCTTCAAAGATTAGCTTATAGCTACCAGAAGGAAAGTTCCCACTCCTGTTTATGTCAGTTGTCCTCCAAAGAATGGCTGGTGTGTCTGCTGGTGTGTGTATGTCACTGACATGCCACTCTCATTCCAACTGTGAATTAACACACAAGCAGGCCCCAACAATGTGTGAACACTCTTCAGGAGAGGGCCTGGCTAAAGCCATCTGCCAAAACTGTTTTCTCTCCCTTTTCTGCCAGTGAATATTGTTGAACTCAAGTCTTGCATTTTCTGGAACACTCCCAATTTTATAGAATTTTACTTCTTTCAGTAAAAGTAAGTTCACACGAACAGATGTGATTTAACTGCAGTGCTTGTGTAAAGTATTTCATATTTACTTGCAAGTTAAAAAAAAAAATCTACCATAAAGCCACAGGGTCTGAACACTGGTTCTACTGACAGCACTGACGCCTGACTGATGTTTTGTCCTCTGTGTTGGCCAGGTGTCTGCAGCATCCTTTTCTTCTTATTCTTTGCACAGTCAGGATTTGGTACCCCAGGACGGATTCAGGCTAACACACCTCTGCTGCTCCCTGCTTCTCCCCTGCCTTTGCCTTTCATCCAGGTCCATTTTTCCTGCAGCTATATCCTGGCCTCGGGTTGCTTTGGGGACTGGAAGATGTGGAAAGAGGGAATTATTGGGCCATGCCATCCAGCAAGTAGCATGTCCATTCACAGGAGAGAATTTACCTGGGGCCACTGCTGGTCCTGGTCACACGTGGTGCACAGATAGCATATAAGAGCTGCACTTGGGGGCTGGGGCTGGGGCTCACTAGCAGAGCGCTTGCCTAGTAAGCTTGAGGCACTGGGTTTGATCCTCAGCACCACATAAAAATAAACAAATAAAATAAAGGCATTAAAAAGAGCTGCACCTGCCATAGGTACTGTCACATGCCAAAGTACCTAAGCTACAGGGGCAGCTCTTCTACTTGGGGGGAGAAAGAAGACAAAGCAAAAAACCAAAAGATTTGTCCCAGAGGAACTTTGAGGTGTAATGGAAGAAGATTGCATTAACCAGGCCCTCTGGTAACTAGTATTTACACAGTGTTGAGGCTTGGTTGTGTGACTTCAGCTGTAGGTTGACTGTGAGTGGGATTCCAGTGATACTGACCGGCTCCAGCCACACCACTGAAGATGGTTGATTCACATCGCAAGAGCAGGACCGAGAATAGTGTGACCTCACGGCAGCAGGGTTACAGGTTATATTTCAGTTAAGTTTGAAGGACGTGGCTCGCGTGGTATATTGTGGCATGGAATGAAGGGTGCCTTTGTTCTGATGGACTAGAACTTGCAATACCCGCGTCAACAGCAGTCTGTCCCAGAGCTCTGTCCAGGTAGCTCTTTCTGTGGCTCACAGTTGTGTTCTCCAGAGCTCAGGGTCTCAGACCCAGCAGGTACTCCATAGGTACATATTGGTGGAGGGAGTGCATAGTTCATCGGCCGAGGGCCAGCTCACTGCAGCGGGTTCTGGGCTGGCGTTTTGTCCTTTTCCTGCAGCCTTACGAGGTCTCCTTCAAGCACTATCACTTTTTGTTATGAGGTTCCTTCTTATTCCGCCTTGGCCGGGAGGCTGGGGACTTTCCAAGTCTTTCAGGTCACACTGTGGCCCAATTTCATTGAGTTTCTAAGAGCTGCCCTTCCCCAAACCTATCTTGGTTGGCTCCTCACAAAATAGCCTTGGCCTTGTGCGTGCCCCGTCGTCATGGTAGCCCAGTGGGGACCCCACCTCTCTGTACTCATAAGCCCAGGGCATTTCTGGCTGCCTCACAGACCACATAATATAGGAAAGGTGGTGGCTTTTGCCAGAGAATCACCACAAACTTAGGAATCGGGGTGGAGTCCTGTGGCCGTCTTAAAGGCCCAGTGAGACGATTAAGTGATGAGTGACAGCGCACGAGTGGTCTGTCCAGCTGGAGAGCCGCCGGGAACCAGGCTAGGAGAATGTTCCTACTTGGATTGGAATTTGGCCAGATGTAAGATTTTATTGACCGTAAGTCACCAATTCAAAGACTTTTCCAGCAGTGACCCCTGGTTTTCCTCTTATGGTGCTTCCTTTCTTTTCCCTAGTCTGCATTCATGACTTTTATAATCATAAAGTTCAAAATAAAATGACTAATTTAAAAATTAATTGAAGGACTGGGGATGTAGCTCAGTTTTAAAGAGTTTGCCTAGAAAGTGGGTTCAATCCCCAGTGCAAAAAAAAAAAAAGACAAATTTAATCAAAGCTGTCAATTATTAAATTGCATAGTGGGGAATGCACCTCCACCCCCCCCCATCTGTTTGTTTTTCAATTAAGAAAAGGCAAGGCATGTTTTTGCTTGAGGACCTTGGCTGCTTGTCTTGGAATCTGTGACTTCGGTCCAAATTGACAGCGTTCTGGTATTGTGGAAGCTTTTATTTATTTATTTTATTAAAAAAGCTTAAATGAAGGTATATTTTCTAAAACTGACCACGCAGAGCTCTAGATAAACAGCTTTCTGGTAAGAGCTTTATGAATAATGGGGATGTGGATTTACTGTAGGGGTCTTGAGTATTTTTTAAAGGCATTGTTTTAAGTTAGTGGGAGGCACAGATGAAAGGGGGAATTTCAAGATAAGCCCTGTGAGTGATTTTGCATCACAGTGAGGAGTGGAGATGGATGGGATTTGCTCTGGCATCCGTGCATAGTCCTGATGCAAAAAGTGTGTCCAAGCAGAAGGCTGCCCTGGGACTCAGAGGCAGCAGAGGGGCCCTCATTTTGGCTGGGATTTGGGAATTTAGCATGTGGTGAGTCTAATATTAGAAAATCACTTCTTACCCTTCCCCCATCCTTTTCCTTAAAGCATTTTTGTCCCTTTTGCAATGTGGGCATCAAGTCTCTCCCCCTCTTGCCTTTTGTGCTTTCTCTGTGAGCTGTCATTTAATTTATTTCTTGGCTGCTTATCTTTTTATTAATCAGATTTTCTCCCTTGGCCAAGCTCTTCTCCCATAGGTCTTGCTTCCGTCTTACGGTACACGCTCACCAGGTCGAGGTTCTGTGTGGAGACACAAACATGGGCTTCTGTAAACGGTAACTGCAAACCTGGAGTACAAAACAGATCCAAAAGCCAGAATATCTAGTATGTGGTTGGTTGTATTATTTCTTGGTCCTAGTACCATCGGGGATGAGGCACTAAATGATCTTGTAGTTTGGAACATTTGAGGATTTGAAACCAGGTGAATTTTTAGTCCTCCTAATGGATTTAGGCTGCAGATATTAAGTTAGTGGGGAAGGAACTATCAAAGTGGTGGTGCAGATTGAACTTAAGCAGGTTATAAAGGAGGAAAATTTTGATAAATAATCTTTTCAGTTCTTAGTTTCCTCATCCTTAAAAGAGGGAGTTATTGGACTACATAATTCCTATGTTCTTTTCAGCTCCAAAATTTTGTGGGAAAATCAGCTGGTTATATAGATTCAGATGCAGTTGAGAATGTTTAGGCATTCTAAGCAACTGGTGAGCTGGGTTGAAATAAATAAAAAAAAAAAAAATCTTAGATCTAGTATAGTAAATATGTGGATAATATCTACTGATAACAGCTACATTTAATGAACTCTTACTACATGTAATCTACATGTAGTCTACATAACCTATGAGGTTAGCCATTTTATAGATGGCAGAAACTGAGGCACTGGGAGGTTAGGTAATTATTATAAGATTACAAATTGGTAAGTGATGCAGCTGGGATTCAAAACAGGCCGGCTGACTCCATCAAAATTCACTGTGTGAATGAGTCGTTTTATTATGTTTCTCTAGAGAGAGAGAGAGAGAGAGAGAGAATCAATAGGCGATAGATAGGTAGGTGAGAAGGAATGTATGAAGGGAATTGGCTTGCTCAGTTAAACAGCCTGAGAAGTCCCACAACAGGCCATCTGCTGGATACCCTGGGACACAGGTAGTCCAAGCCCTAAACCCTCAGAACTGGGGAAGCTGATGCTGTAAATTTTAGTCTAAGGCCAAAGAGAACCTGGTGGGGGCCACTATTGTAAGTCATGGAGTCCAGAGGCTGGAGAATCTAGAGTTCCAGTGTCCAAAGGGAAGGAGGAAAGAGTGTGTCTCAGGAGAGAGAGAGTGATTTTTTTTCCTGCTTTTTTCTTCTACCCACTCCCCTACCAATTGGATGGTACCTACCCACCCTGAGGGCAGTTCTTCCCCACTCAGTCTACCAACTCCGATATGCCAGTCTCCCCTGAAAATACCCACATAGACACACCTGGAAATAATGCTTTACCAATTCTCTAGGTATTTCTTACTCCAGTCAAGGTGACACCTAAAACTAACCAGGGCTGTCATCATAGAGCCCCTCAGTGATTCCCCTGACATCCTACATTGCTGGGTACAGTAGCCAGACCATGTTTAGTAGGATGGATGAGACAGGGGCAGCAGGAGGGTGGTCTGAATTCTTGTCTGTGTGTGGCAGAGACGGAGAGACTAATGACCCCTGGTTATTGAACCTAGAAAGGACCTTAATAAGGGAAAACAGGTCTTTTTCCTCAGGTGTAGCTCCCCAGGCTTCATCCCTTTTGCCAGGAGAGTAATCCTTCTCAAAAGGGCCTGTTTGATTTGTCCCCCCTGCCAGAAGTCCTGTGTTAATGCATGAATATTCAGAGGTAAATGGTTAGATCGTGAGAGCTATAATATAATCAGTCCACCCCAGTATGAATGGACTGACTGGGTGATAACGCTAGGCACATGGGGTGTGACTGGAGGAGGTGGGTTCCTGGGGGCATGCCCTGGTGGGGTTCATTTTCCCTGAAGTCCCCTCCCCTCTCTCTGCTTCCTGGTCACCACAATGGAGCAGTGCTTCTCCACCACACCCTTCTGCCATGATGTTGTGCCTCCTCTTGGGCCTAGAGCAATGGAGTTGGCCTATCATGGACTAAATCTCTGAAATAGTGAGCTCAAATCAACTTTGCCTGCTCTAAGTTGTCTATGTCAGGTATTTTGGTCACAGCAACAAAAGGCTAACTTTCACAGGACCTACAGGAGCAATATTTCAATGGCACTAAGCCCCTCCATGGGAGTGCCATGCTATTGCACCAAATCTAGTTTCTGTCACTCTCCAGCAGGCATTCCTAGCGGGCGAGCCCTCTACTCACAGACACAACACACGGCTCCCTTCTGTTTGCCTCTTGCTTGCTCAGATTGTTCTACCAACCTAGAATGCCTTGCCCCTGTGCTCTGCCTCTCCAAACCTAACTATGACCTCCACAAAGTCCTCTTCAGCTCTCTGAATGTCCCCTTTCTTTGGAAACTCTAGTGGTGTTTTCTTTTAAAAAATACATATACTTTTTATTTTTAAATTTGGGGTACTGAGACTTGAACTCAGGGGCACTTGACAACTAAGCCACATCCCCAGCCCTATTTTGTATTTTATTCAGAGATAGGTATTATTGAGTTGCTAAGTGCCTCACTAAGTTGCTGAGGCTGGCTTTGAACTCAAAATCCTCTTGTTTCAGCCTCTGGAGCTGCTGAGATTACAGGCACATGCCACCACGCCTGGCTTCAAAAATTTGTCACTGATCTGTGTTAATTTGTATTTTTCATTTTGCTTTCCAACTTGTACAATAAGCACTTTGGAGAAAGAGAGTAGACAGAAAATTTAGATTGCTCACTTTAAGTTCAGGGGATACTGAGACCAGTTCTACATCAGTTTCTGGAACTTCAGACTTGATTTCTCATGTTAAGGATGTTAAGCTTACCAACTTCTGGACCTAAATTTCTAACAAGACTGTTTAGAGAAAAGAAAGGGAGGCCTGTTTCATGTAGTTGACAATAAACTTACAAAATTTGTTACCTAGGAAGGAATAACTCATGGATGACAAGTCACCTGTTCCTACCAAGAGATGCTAAGCACTGTGTCATTGGGTCCTCTGCTGATGACAGAGTGCTTGGGTATACTAAGTTGGTTAGGATAAATTTCATCTTACCAGCCAACATTGATGGATTAGTAAGTTGCCTTGTGAGCTGAATGTTGAGAAGGACCCTGAAGCCTTTCTGGTTGCCATGCCTGCCATTCTCTCTGGAGAGGAAAATGATGGCAGTCTTGAGATGTTTTCTGCTTTCCTGGAACTCTGACCCAAGGCGAGAACGCTCCTCTTAGTTAGTACTCCCTCCAAACAGAAGCAGGAGAGAGAAGATGGCAAAGCATATGCCCTGAAGCCCCTGGAGCCCATCAGAGTGTACATAGGATATAAAATATTGCTTGCCATTCCTGCTTCAATCTATTTTAAGTCAGGAATAGTCAAAGGACATTTGAGACCTCTATTCCTAATGTCAGAGGCCAGAAGTGAAGTGCCTCTTGCTTCCTTATAATAGCAGATGACTTATGCAAAGCCAGCCACAACTGGGCACTTTGAACCCATTCAGCTGCTTGGCGAATGGTCACCAGCCCACTCACTGCCCGCTGATGGGCTGTGGCAGATGGGTACCTCCCAGAGCCTCTTTCCGATGGGCCTTTCTGTTGGGCCCCACTAGAACTCACCCAGGGCAGCGGTCACCTTCCACAGCCCCAGCCCTGAGGAACCAGCTCTAAAGATTCCTTTCAGATAAATATTTTCTTAGAAGAGGCTCAGGCCTTCACCTGAGACTGCCTTAATGTGTAGTTAACACTTAGCTGAGAACACCAGAAACTGCCTTAACAGTTCTGTTATGTTCAAGACTTGTGGGTTTTTTGTTTTGTTTTTAGTGTGTGTGTTTTTTGGAGTACTAGGGATTGAACTCAGGGGCACTTGACCACTGAGCCACATCCCCAGCCTTTTAAAAATTTTTATTTAGGGACAGGGTCTCAGTGAGTTGCTTAGCTGAGGCTGACTTTGAACTCTTGATCCTCCTACCTCAGCCTCCTGAGCTGCTGGGATTTATAGCCACCAAGCCTGACTAAAACTTGTGGTTTTGAAACTGGGTCTGCATCAGAATCAGTAGCTTGGAGGTAGACCTGGTGCTTAACATTCCTGAAGTCCTGAGTTTGATC